TTCCACAAAGACAGGCAGAAAGAGAAACATGACTTCAACATCACTTCCTGGTCCTGCACTTCTTCTCCTCCTCCCTCCTCTATTCTTTAACTGTAGAACAGTAAGACTTTTAGCTTTTCATGTGCCACATTACCAACAGGCAGTCAGTCAAAATAATAAGCCCTCCAGCAAATCATCTTGTCATGGCCTGAACAGGACCCTGACCGGCTTTTACACTCTGCTTGACCCGTTCCTCCCACTACGCTAGACTAAATCCCATTTCAGTTCTGGACTGATTTCCAACAGCTGAACTGTGCGTGGATTATGATTAAGTAGTCGATAGACAGCGTCTAATAAAGATGGATTATTGTGGCTCTTCAAATGCAAGCTAATTTAAAGTCTTACCAACTGGTTTCACCTCAGCTGATGAGTTCATGTTTGTAACCCACATAACTCACAGTCACTCAGTCTTATTAGTGAAAGACAACATGTGTGACTTTTCCTTCAGCTGAACTGAAATGCCAGTTCAGAAAGAAGCTCTTGGTTGGAAACTGAAGACTGGACACACTTCTCATATTTCATGTGCAAAGACCTCGGAGAATTCACTCAACAACAAACTCCCCTGGAAACTCAGATTAAATAAATACAAACTATAAATGGGACTTTGAGATTAAAAAAATATAGAGATAGATATTCATCAATAATACCTAATTGAATTTGGGTTTAAGATCTAATTAATCTATCTCTGTTCATGTCTGGATGCACCGAGTGTGGCAGGCTGAGGCTAGGCATTGATCACAAGATTACAAAATCTTTACTACGTCCTTTCACCTCAGTCACCAGCGAAGCACAGAGGATTAACAACGCACTCATCATTCGCTGTCAAGTAAATGGTAACTTGACAAAACCTAAATGAGATGGATGAAAACAATGTTTAACAAACCTTTTCAACGATGATGAGGTCCCCAACTTGAATACCGCTGCTTTTAACCTTCACTGTGCCTGAAATACGGAGATACAAACACAACGACTCATTCTCCTGGTTCACAAATGTGTTGTTTAGCCAAATATGACAATAAAAATCAAACAGTAATGTCTTTGGGGGAGCTGCTGTGTTGCACGACTTACCACTCACCCCAGAGACTTTGGCTAAGTCATTTTTCAGTGCAGATTTGAAAGAATGCTGGGGTTGCTGAGCCTTTTCACTCATTCCATTTGGAATGAAGGGCAAAATTGTTTAGAAGAGATCACTGACCCCTGACCTCTGCCGTGACCTCTGGGCTTTGCATATGTAAGGCATTAAAGCACATTAATATTGCTATGCATCCGATTTCAGGGGGCTTCACATTAGTGCTCTGCTCCCCTAATGCAAGAAACCTTTACACATTACTTTACAAAAGAAAGATCAGTAAATCAGGACCGAGCAGCTTCAGAAAACAGCTTTCAGAACCATCTAAAAAAGCTAAAGAAATCAAAGGCTATGACGTGTAATTTAAAAAAAAATACCCCACCAAATTCTGACACCATGAAGTATCTATAAACCTCCGCACAGGGGCTGCCATCACCGAGGCAAGCGGTCATTGTGTTTATGGGTAAAGCGAACTGTCACATCAAAGGGACGAAGTGATGGAAACCACAAGAGGCCTCCTGCTTTTTATTGCTGGTAGCACGTTATACCACGACCTCTTATATACACTTTTACATCTCTGCTTTGAATTAACCACCATTTCCCTTAGCCCCAGTGAGTTTTAATAGGACCGACCTCCTACAGTTAATAGATGCTGATGCTTAAAAATAAGCAACATGGTTTGGATATGGACCCGGCAAAGCATAGCTAATGTTTTCCAGGCTTCATTACCTCTTGTTGAAAGCTTGCTGTAAATCTGAGAGTTCACTTCTTTGTCTCGAAGGTAGCATCTTATTTCTTCGACCGCCTCCCTCATGATGGTGACAATCAAAACAAGGCCCTGGAAAGGGGAGAGTTAAAACTGTGTTCTTCTCCAAACTAGACAGCAACAAACCTGCTGTGTTTGTTAGAAACACCTGAACTTTTCCATCTAGCTGCCCTGAATACAAATTACACATGGGAAATGCAGCCGATTTCATAATAATGAACAGCTAGGAGGAACAAAGCTTTGTGAAAGGACTCATACCAAGGGGACCCAGTAGGTGTAGAGGGCACCTAAACGTAGCTCCTCGACAAACTGGGAGCAGGCCAACAGCAAAAAGTACAAGTTGTAGAAGTACTTGAACTGATTGAACAGCACCTGTGAACACAGAACACAGAGATACAGAGTAAAATATTTCCTGTTATTATGAATGAATCTGACATTTAATGCTAGACTCCTCCTTTTTGTTTTTAAAGTCATGACTGATTTTGATAGAAAATGTATCTGACAGCTTTGATTTCCATGTGGCTTGTTGTAACGTTATTTTGGTGACCTCTAATTTAAAAAAAACACCTACGTGAATCGTCATTTCAGACATTTGTTTCACTACAATGTTAGACATTTAGCAGTGATTCTTATTAAAGAAAAATTCTGTTGACATAACTGGTGATAGAAAAATCTAAGAAGTGGAGATTTTGGTTGCAGTTTAAACAAATCATCGTAGCCCGAATCACAATATAGGACCTTTTCCGGAAAAATCAAATGAGAAGATGTTTTCCAAATTAGCACAATTTCTGAAACGGATGCAAAAATTATAATAAAATCCGATATTCATCAAAATGATTTCCCACTTTGTTGATATTGGGCTTATACACATAAATACTAAAAGGGAAAACATAAACTGTGGCAAAATCATGAAACTAATTTATAAAATCTCCCCTTATATATCAACATATCACCCACACCTACTAAAAGTTACCAAGATTTCAATCACGTCAGCCAAGTTTAGTCCACAAATCTTTCAAACTATATGTAAACACATACAGCAGCATCTTAAATTTTACTCCCATTCTACAACTCTGCTCAACTTAATGCCCCCAGTGTGTAAGATTACCACCAAGTGAAAGCTTGTGACATGCCTCAAAGTACACAAAAAGCATCACGATTTGCAATGCAAAAAGACTCGGTTCCTGCTTTATGCTTTCCAAACAAATCTGAGCCTCTTACAGTGTTTGCCTTCATATACAAAAATAAGATCAAATAAGAAAACTAAATGTCTGGAAAACAAATTTATATGTAAACCAGGCCTGGAAAATGTGGAAGTCACAGGCACGGCAACCTCCAGCCAATGTCACATCTGTCACATCTGTCACATCTGCCGATAAAGGTTTGTGGAACCAACCATCAGTGGCTGAACTATCCATCATATCGCTCCTCATTTAAAGATCTATTTTAACATGAGTCAGTCCGCTACTTAAAAATGACCCGGAGATCTTCTTATACTGCTGACGTGTGAAGTGAAGAAAGTAACCAAACCAAACCTGGCCGGCACATCAAGCTGGCATAACACCAACTGTGCATCTGTCAGTCAGTAAAAACGTAACCACCATCTGTGTGTCTTCCAGAGGCATGCTAATATGTGGTCATTTAGGATTTGGCTAACTATAAGCAGGCACAATCATATGTGTGATTTATAGACACCACTTTATGTGAAATTCTAACTGACACTTGTCACTAACAGTTTATAGACTAAACCAGGGGTGCCCACACTTTTTTCACAGCAGGGACAGGGAAGGTGGTTAAAATTGATGGGAAGATGGATGGAGCCAAATACAGGACCATTCTGGAAGGAAACCTGATGGAGTCTGCAAAAGACCTGAGACTGGGATGGAGATTTGTCTTCCAACAAGACAATGATCCAAAACATAAAGCAAAATCTACAATGGAATGGTTCAAAACTAAACATATCCAGGTGTTAGAATGGCCAAGTCAAAGTCCAGACCTCAATCCAATCGAGAATCTTTGGAAAGAACTGAAAACTGCTGTTCACAAATGCTCTCCATCCAACCTCACTGAGCTCGAGCTGTTTTGCAAGGAGGAATGGGCAAATATTTCAGTCTCTCGATGTGCAAAACTGATAGAGACATACCCCAAGTGACTTACAGCTGTAATCGCAGCAAAAGGTGGCGCTACAAAGTATTAACTTAAGGGGGCTGAATAATTTTGCACGCCCAATTTTTCAGTTTTTTATTTGTTAAAAAAGTTTGAAATATCCAATAAATTTCGTTCCACTTCATGATTGTGTCCCACTTGTTGTTGATTCTTCACAAAAAATTACAGTTTTATATCTTTATGTTTGAAGCCTGAACTGTGGCAAAAGGTCGCAAAGTTCAAGGGGGCCGAATACTTTTGCAAGGCATTGTAACTTAAGGTAGAACTAGCATGAAACTCGAAGTCAACCCGCTCTGCTCCGCCCAGCGCTCCCTCTCTCTGCTCCACTACGCTCTGCCACCTCTTCAGATATCTGTCATTATGAAATTACAATAAATGAAAATGCAGCATAACTTTCTAATCAAGCAGAAACAACTGAAAACCTCTGACTGGTTAGAGAGGTCAACCCACTCAAAACCTTTTAGAAGCTCATATCTCTGCACTGCTGCCAGCCCTGTTCAATGGGTCTGGGTCACAGGAGGCTTCGACAGCACCTCTCCACAAGTTTTGGATCTTATTTCTACAAGAACAATATTGGTAAAAGTTACATACTGTGGCTTTAATTAACAAAACAATTGTCAGATTAATCAATAATGAAATAATACTAATAATGTTAGGTGCAGCCCCAATTTGATCTGCTGATCCACAACAATTTAAAATGAGTCAAACACTACAATGAGATTAAATGACAGGCCACATTAAACAGCAAAGAGTACAGGAGGACAGTCAAGATGACCTTATTCCTAACATTATGAATCTCTGGAAATGTGTCCAACAAGTGAGAGTGAATCAGGGCCAGGCTCAGATAGATGGGGAGGGTGGAGGGGTGACCTCTGACTGACACTAACCGCAGGCAGGAAGGTGAAGAAGTTGGACTTCTGGTTGTTAATGACATTCCTGGGGTACCTCTGCTCCCTCTTTTCTGGGTGGCCGAGCCACACAGTGCGAGGACGGAAGTCACCCATGCCACAGCATCGTGACCACGGGCAGCACCTGGAAGAGGAAGAGGTAAAAAGGAGTGGAAATGAATTCCAAATGTGATCACACTATTTGGTTCAATAACAGAGAAACAGACAGTTACATAAAATAAGAAACTGGGATTTTGCGGTTCAATTTAGTTTATTTCAGTTTAAAATGTATTCTGCAATTTGACTCCTAACTCTGTTAAGATCATTTTTAATGAATTCATGTCACATCTGTGGTGCTTATTGTAGGTACAAACCAACAGAACAGTTAGAGCAAAAGGTCCAGAGAGATCATGCCATACAAAATAAACATTAACTTCATTTGGAGAAGGATGGCCACTCCCCTAGCTCTACCAAAACAACAAAACACTCCATATCAATCAACCAAAAGCCCAGTGACCTTGTGATTAATAATTGAATGACTTTGTAAGTTATAAAAACATCGACTATAAAAACAATATAGGTCTGACAAATATACATGTACAACCATCAACCAAAGGGGATAGGACAGTAAGGGCCCAGTAAGTTTATGATTTATATTTGTTCTCTACTGTAGATGTTAACCCATGTACAGATGTTCATTTATTGATAAATGGCACACTTAATGTGCTAAAGATGAAAATGTTTCCAAGTTTTAGTTGACTGTCTAGTACATACATATTAACTGAGAGTAACTACTTAGTGTAAGTTGGTCATTGACATCTGATTGTACAAAACTGACACATGGTGTTCCTCAAGGTTCCATTCTTGGGACTCTTTTATTCCTCAAGGTTCCATTCTTGGGACTCTTTTATTCAACATCCAAATGTTCGCACTCGCTCAGATTATGGAAAACAACAAACTTATGCAGACGACACACAATTAAAATACAAAACACATTTCCGATCTGCTGCTAGATTCATTACAAGATCCATCCATCCATCCATCCATTTTCCTCCGCTTATCCGGGACCAGGTCGTAGGGACAGCAGTCTAAGCAAAGATGCCCAGACTTCCCTCTCTCCAGACACTTCCTCCAGCTCCTCCGGGGGAATGC